CACCAGGATGAAAACCCAGCCATTTTCCTGATCAGCTAGTTGATCATAACAAAACATGATTTTCCTTCCCACCAACTCCAGTCTCTCAATACTGGCTGTCATGCAGTGAACAGAACTAATCATTTTTGAACAATCGTTCTGCATTTCATAAACTGAGATCCCACCTGTTCCTGGTATTAAGGATACAAAATATAAAATTATATACATACACATACGAGCACCCACACACCAACACGTTTCACGCCCTCAAGGAGCACCAAGTGTCATCAGGAAGGTGATGCTGGAGACCACTCTTGGTTAATGGGACATCCACTCACGTCCCTTTCCCTCCTTGCCTGCTTCTGTTACAGGAGCCAAGAAAGGTCAACACCCATCCCACGCAGCAAGGTGCAGCCATGTGACCCAGTTCTGGCCAACAAGAAATGGGTGGAAGTCTGCTGGTCGGGGCTTGATAGAAATTTTTTAGCTTTTCCCACCAAAGACAGATGAGGATGGGAGCCATGATGTCCTCCATCCTGCTGCCTTGGGTGTGGCTGTGATCCCTGCACCCTCATGCCACCAAGGAGCACAGGCCAGCCAAGAGCTGGGACAGCTGGCACTGCACAAGCAGCCGAACGAATCAACTGGGGTTGGACAAAGCTCGTCTCTGGACTTGCTGCCTTGTGAGAAATGGAGGCTGCTATTAGTTTACATCACTGTTAATCAAAACGTTCTGCTACTTGCAGTTGAAAACTTTCATAACTTAGAGAAAACTTACAAAGAGCAGTAGGTGTTGTAAACATGTTAAGGAAGGGCCTCTGTCTTGACCAACACAGTAGAACCTTCCATGTCTGTGTGCGCCTTACTCTGGGGAGCACTGGAAACTCTTGAGCACCCAATCACAGCAAAATTCTTTCCTCTGCTGGCGCCATTAATGTTACAAGCTGAGATCAATGTCCAAGTGCCTAATGCCAGAGCTGTGTGAAGGAACTGTCCACACAGGTACCTCCCAGCACACTCATTCATACTATAAGGGCAGGGCCAGCCTCACGAGCAGGTGACTCATGTAGCTCCACAGGTTCCTGCACCTACAAGTGTTCTGTGCTTGGTTTAATACTCTGCTATTAGCACCTGAAATTCTTAGTTTTTAAACACAGAGCCTCATGTTTTTGCTCCAGCCTCTGCAAATTACATAACTGGATATGTGAAGAGATGCTAAAATATGAGTACAATAGTATCCATGATTTCACTTTCATGGTTTCAGCTAATCAAGATCTGAAAATATTAAATAGAAACTTCCAGAAATAAACAGTTCATAAGTTTTAAATGACTTTTATTATGGTATATTGTTATAATTATTCTACTTATTATGTAATATTGCTAATCTCTTACTGTGCCTAATTCAAAAATCAAAGTTTATCATAGGTATGTTTGGATAGGGGAAAAAACAGTATATATAGGGTTTGCTGCTAACCTGCCCACTGTTTCAGACATATACTGGGGGTCTTGAAATGTATTTACTGTGGATAAGGGGCACTACTGTGGACCAAATCAGACATGTGGTACCAATTAACTCAATTTACCTCACCTCCATCCTCATATATTTGTTGAAATATAAATTGACTTCTTTCTGGGCTGGGGATGTGGCTCAAGCGGTAGCGCGCTCGCCTGGCATGCGTGCGGCCCGGGTTCGATCCTCAGCACCACATACCAACAAAGATGTTGTGTCCGCCGAAAACTAAAAAATAAATATTAAAAATTCTCTCTCTCTCACTCTCTCTTTAAAAAAAAAATTAATTAATAAATTGAGTTCTTCCTACTGAAGTGCATACATGGTACCCTCACATGAAAACCACACTCTCCTCATGATGCTGACTTGGCCCTGGGGGTGGTTTTTTAATATGAATGTGCAAGGATAAAGAAGCAGCTCCCTACCTTGAAAACAGCCCGTTTGACAGTTTCTTGGTCTGAAGCCTCCCTAGGAAAAAAACAAATAATGCTGCTACATGATGTACCTTATTATCTAATCTCTAACTCTCTATGCTTCACAAGAGTTTGCTCAGTCTGGTAAGGAAAAATTAAACCCAAGTGAGAAACATACAAAGTATGAAATGTATTACTAGCTTGAAACCATGGCAAAGGAGTGAAGAACATATTTTGAGCAAAACCGCGTAAAGTTATCTGTGTATATTAGTTAGAATTCAAGCTCAGCTACTGTACCAAAGATCAAATAATAGTGGCCCAATAAAGAGACGTGTCTGCTTCTTTAAGTGACAGCTAAAACATAGCTGTTCAGAGATTAGTCACTGGCCCATTTATGTTACAAAGCTGAGACCCGCTGGTGACCCGTTTCCTTAGTCCATGGTTTAAAATGCTGGGGCTCTGGCTCCCCGCATCATGTCTACCTTCCAGGAAGAGAGGAGCAGAGGAGGAGCAAGGCTCACACTCCCATTTTTTGGAAATCTTTAGGTTTCTTCCAAAGCATTCTCGGTTCTCCTCCAGCCCCTGGTTGCTCCTTCTTCATCCTGGGCTTGTTCTTCCTCCTTGTTCCAGTGTCTTGGTGTGAAAGGCCCTTGAGCTCAATTCTTGGGTCTTTGCCTTGTCTCTCCCCTCTATCTACCCTCTTTCCTTTCATGGCTTCAGGGATCATCTTCATACAATGACTCCCCAATTTTTATCTCCATCCCAGAACTTCCCCCTGAACCCCAGACTCATCTATCAAGCTGCTTCCTTCACATTGCCCTAGGATGACTAGCAGGTGTGGATACCCCGACCTCCCCCTGCAGACCCGCGTGTCCTCGGCCTTCCCCGTCGTCACCATCCTGGTCCTCTCCACACTGATGGCAACTTCCCCCTCATGGTCACGAGGGCCAAAAAGTGGAATTGTCTTTAAGTCATCCCTCAAACCCAACTTCTAGTCTATGAAGAAGGTTCCTAACAGCTTATCTAACAGACAGCCGGAATCTGATACGGCTCCCGGCTTCCCTCCCAACACCGCAGTCTGACCCTCATCTAGAGCATCACAGTAGCCTAACTGGTCCTTTCCACCTTGTCCTCCACAGACTATTCTCCACCCAGTGGCCTGAGTAATACTTTTCCAGGCAGATCACGTGTCCCTCTCCGTTCAAAACCCTCTAAGTTTCCAACTGCGCTCAGAGTAAAGGTGGAGTCCTCGGAGTGGCGGTGAGCCCTCCATGGTCAGCCCTCCCTGTCTCCATTCGTCCATGATTTTACTTCTCCTGCTCCCTTTCATCCCTCCAGGAGCTGCGCAGCCTCCTCCCTGTTCCTCAAGTGGACCAGCAAGCTCCTGCCTCGGGCCTTGGCACCGGCCGGTCCCCAGGCCTGGAAGCTCTTTTCCTAGATCAACTGTGTTGCGTGCTCCCCAGATCCCCACTGACTGCTCCCAGCCCCTTCTCGCTCTCTTTTTATCCAGCAGTTATCACTTTCTGACATACCATACAGTGTAGCTGTTCTGGTGTGTGTGTGTCCCCCACTTGTGATTCCCCAGAAGCAAGGATCTTGATACCTCTTATTCACTGAGGTACCCTGAATGGCCACAGCCATTCCTGGCTTTTAGTAAGTGTTAAACAGAGACTTTTAAATGAACTCATGGATGAAGCACGACCTTGCCTTGAAAGCTGCACAGGCGCCCTTTACTTCCACCCCTTCCCATGACCTGAAACCTCGTCATTCTAGAAAAAAGTCAGGAAGTATAGTTTTTAATTAAGTAATGATGTGCCTTGCTGAATCTCCCATTGCTAGAGGAATAGGAAGACTCATTTTGGGGTATAACTCACACACTCAATATTTTCCTAGGCAACTGTGACTGAATAACATTTTCTACTTATGATTTGGTGGGGAGAGATTGCAAAAGTAAAAGGATGGGGCTGGGGGTGCAGCTCAGTGGCAGAGCAGATGCCTAACATGCATAAGGCCCTGGGTTCAATCCTCAGCACTGCAAAAAATAAAAATAAATAAATAAAACTAAAAATATAATAAAAGGAGATTTTAGGAAAGTTAAGAGTATGCCATAGTTAATACATATACTGACTCCCTTAATCCGAACACAAGAAAGAGATATGTACAATTTTTGCTACTTGAAAATGTTACTCCCTGCCTTCTGTAAATAAATGCCAACGATTAATTTTTAATTAACTAATTTATTCGTTTATTTTGGTACCAGCGATTGAACACAAGGGTGTTTGACCACTGAACCACATACCCAGCCCTTTTTATTTTTTAATTTTGAGATAGGGTGTCACTAGGTTGCTTATAGCCTCACTTAGTTGCTAAGGCTGGCTTTGAACTTGCAATCCTCCTGCCATAGTCTCCTGAGCTGCTAGGATAACAGGCATGCACCACCAAGCCTGGTCAACATTTTAAATCTGCTAGAAGCAGCGTTGGATCATTAGCCTGTCCAGGAGTCTGCAAAGTGATGTGACTGATATTCATCAATGTTGATGTGACAATTCCCTTCTCTCCTCTCTGATGACTCTCCACTCTGCCTCTCCCTGGGATTCTTCCATTACCTGATGTTAGGTGTCTTCTTTAGCTTTTTCCATTCCCTTGCTTATCTTGCTTGTGATGGCTCACTTAGGGAAACTATCCCATCTGTTGGCCGTAGAACTCACCCTGGTACAAGTCTGCATCTTCATCTCAAGCCCCCACTGAACATTTTTTTTCCAACTTGCTTCCCCTTCAATGTCCCATTCCTGAAGTATGTAATAACCACCCCAAATAGCTTGCCTTCACAGCATCTCCCTTCTAAGCAGTAAGGAGGGGTTAGGACCCTAAACACTGCACTTGGGTATGTCTCCCACACCCACAGGCTTTATCTAGCTGATTCCACCTTTCATTTCTCAAATGGAGTCAGTTATCAAGTTCCATCAGAAAGTCATGCCTCCAGCCAGCTTATTAGAAGATAAGCTTTCCAAAAATTTAAAATCCTGACTCTGATGGAGAAATAAAAATGAACACATGTCAAAGATTTTATTTCACTCATGAAGGAATTGAGAAACTAATGTGACTCCATTTAAAAAATAAATAAAAAGATTCTCATTACCAAACTCTGTTCTCAGTGAGGGCAAGTGGGTCATCATTGCCAAAAAATAAATAAATAACAGCAGCTTCTACCTCAAGGCCTGTCCTAAGGAAGAGGGCGTGACCTTTGTCCTTGGAAAAACCCACAGAGCACTCCTAAGCACATACCCACCCTGCTGAGTTGTTTGTCCCTGGGACTGCTGTGTCAGAACAGTTGTGAGTCCAGGCTCGAGCTTGCAATAAAGACTCTTGTGTGCTTGCATCGGATTTGGCTCCCGGAGGTCTATTGGGGTCCCACGAATCTGGTATAACAGAATCAAATAGTTGTTATGCTGGGTTCAAAAGAGAGTTCTACAATCCCTAAAAAACAAATGCCAAATGTCATCTGCCGCAGTCTGGCTGGGCACGATTCAGGAGCCACTTGTCAAAAGAAACGAACTTTATTTTTAGAACCACACACGCGAAACAAAACAGCTCCTCAGGAAAAACCCTCAGAGCCCAAATGCCACCACCGGCTTCCCACAAGCCTCTCTCACCAAAACACAAGCCTCTCCCACTCCCACAATCCTCCTGCTCTTGAGGCCGATTGGCTGGGTCATGTGGGCGGAGCCAAAGAAGTCCCCCAATGAGCAGCTCCGTGGTCTGAAAGGGCAGGGAAACAGCCCAATGAGCATCACCGCAGAGAAGTCAATCAGCTAGATGTTGCTGGGGCCGCTGTGAGCCAATCATCAGCCGGCAGCTGGAAGTTTGCTGGGGCCCCTTCAGCTGTGGCTCTCAACATCTCCCCCTCTGTTTAAACAACAGGCATGTGGCTTAGGGACCGTGCCTTAGGTTGTCCAATAGTACATATGGTCCTTACCCGTTATTGGATGAGCTGATCTCAAGGCATCAGCCTCCTGTCTTAGGTTGGTACCATTGTAATTGGTTCTTACACTGACTACCAGTCCAGTATACAGCCACACCTGTGGAGAGGTACCAGCAGGCGGGTGAGGTTCTTTGCCTCACCTCTGTTGGCCCCCAAATTTTAGCTGAACGATCATGACAAGCAGAAGGGAGGAAGATACACCAAGCCAATTGATGGCTCCTTTTGGAAAAATTGTACCGCTGATGACATCATCAGCAAAAATACCCAACACTACCACAAGTCGCTGCACCAACAGATAGTTCACAATGCATATAAGTGAGTTCACAATGCATACAAGTGACACATAGTCTAGGCAAGTTCTGCAAGCAGTTCAGTGATGGCTATTGCAGAAGCTGTAGATTGGTTTTATCTTTGTCTTCACTGGCACTGGGATGAAGTTAGGAATTCTTGCAATAATGGCTAAAGAAAAAATTATGTAACATTCCAGAAGGCACTAAAAGAAAACAATTTTCTTAACAATTTACATTATCTTGAAGAGAAAAGAAAACAATTTTCTTAACAATTTACATTATCTTGAAGAGAATTATTAAATATAATGAAAAGGAAAGGTGAAAGTAAACAAACAGATCTGTTAACCTCCTTTTTTGTTCACATATTAAAACAATCCTCAACAGTTGTTTACCCAATTTAAATTAAACCATTTAAATCATGTGAAATAAAAAAAAATATTTGGGTCCATTTTTTCGTGAGCGCTCATCATATATGATATATGGACATATGTACATTCAAACATATAACACAAAACACAAGTGTGCACACATAATACAACACATAACATAATAGTAAAGGCCTTATAACTTTTTACAGGTGAAATCTCCATTGTAATGTTTAAAAACTCTATAGTCAAAAAA